GGACACCACACAAATGAGGCAACATCTCGACCCACACAAAATAATGGCCACAGTCAACCTAGAAATAGGCTTGACGTCTTCCTCCGAAGTCGGAGTACATCTGCCGGAGAGGCGGGGAACGAGTACTGCAAACAAATAAGCCAGTAAAACGGATGTACACGCAAAACTCAGGTCAAGGTAAAAGCCAAAAGTCCATTTTGGACGAACAACCGTGACTTACCGCCGGAATTCACAGCCGGTGAACAAGAAGAAGAAGAAGAAACAGAGCTTGCATTTCCGGTGTCTTTCTCTCTCTCTCTCTCTTTCTCTCTCTCTCTCTCTCTCTCTCTCTCTCTTTCTCTCTCTCTCTCTTTCTATATATATATATATATATATATATATATATATATATATATATATATATATATAGAAAAAATATATATATACATATATATTCATTCATTCATTCATTCATTCATTCATTCATTCAGTAGCATGTCCCTCGCGGAACCTCGCTGCCATAACAACCCTCCGGAAAACCTTCCTATCCTGAGCAAGATGTCCTGCGTCTGATACACCCATCTGGAGATCATCTGCCACATCCTGCACCCATCTTCTCCTTGGCCTTCCTCTTCCTCTCTTCCCAGGCATATACCCCTCCATTATTGTTCTCTCTAGACTTCCATGACGTTTCAAGTGACCAAAATATTTCAATTTTCTTTTGTTTTATTGTCTTTTACTAGCCAACCCTCTTCAATATTCAGCTCTTGAAGTATGGATGCATTTGTTCTTTTCTTTACCCAAGATATTCTTAGAACCTGTCTGTAACATTTATATTCAAATGCATTTATGCGCTGTTCCGCTTGTTAAGTAAGTGTCCAGGTCTCACAGGCGTATGTTGCAATGGGAAAGATGCATGCTCTTAAAAATCTGACCTTTGTAGTTCTATCTGTACAATTCCATAATTTATTCAGTTGTTTTAGTCTTTGAAGAGCAACTGATAGTCGCCGTTTAATTTCTTTCATTGTGTCACCATTGTTGGTGACCAGTGACCCAAGATATTCGAAATTTTCCACCACTTCCAATCTTTCCTCATTAACATATATTTCCTTCTCCATGGCAGTTTTGTTTGTATGCATTATCTTTGTTTTTGCTATGTTTAGAAATAAGTTATGATTTTCACTATTTCTTTGGAGTGAGGTTAATAAGTTTTCTAAACCATTTTGTGATGTTGATAGTAATACTGTATCATCAGCATAACGAATTTCTGGTATTTCATGACCACCGATGTTTAGGGCATCATATTGTTCCTTGTTTATATCATCTCTTACATTTCTCATTATATTTTTCGGCGTACAGGTTGAACAAATACGGTGACAGCACACATCCCTGACGGACTCCTTGCTTGATGCCAAACCAGTCTGATGTCTCTCCATCTATTCTGACTGCTGCTTGTTGGTCTTGATAGAGCATTTTAATGAGCTGCACTATATGTGATGGAAAGCCCATATTCCTCATGATTTCCCAAAGCTTCTGATATTGTACACAGTCAAATGCTTTTGAATAATCCACAAAACATAAGAACAGATTTACATTAAATTCTCTACACTTCTCTATTATTAAACGCATGTTGAATATATGATCTCTTGTTCCTCTTCCCTGTCTAAATCCAGCCTGAGCTACATTAATCTCTTCTTCCATTTTCTTATGCAGTTTTCTCATTATAATTTTTAGTAGAATTTTATTTGCATGACTGATCAGGGCAATAGTTCGATAGTTTGTACATAATTTCAGGTCACCCTTTTTTGGTATTGGAATGAAGATAGTTCTCTTCCAGTCTTTTGGCCAAATACCATATTTCCATATCTTTTCACATAATGCATGATAGATTTTTATGCTTTCTTCTCCTCCCGCTTTAATCAATTCAGCTGGTATCTCATCACATCCAGGTGATTTACCATTTTTCAGGCTCCTTATTGCCCATGAAATTTCATCTAATGAAGGTTCAGGTTCTGCCTCTACTTTTACTGGTTCATGTATATCATTCATATCCTCACTGTCATTCATATCATACATTCCGCTGCAGTATTCCTGCCATCTTCCTAGAATTTGTCTAGATTCTGTTAAAGTATTTCCCATCCTGTCACAAATAACATTTAACTGAGGTTGAAAATTTCTTGTCAATAACTTCATTTCCTTGAACATTTCGTAATCTCTTCCATTTTTATGATGCTGCTCTATTTTAATACAGCAATCTTGTACATACTGATTTTTATCCTTTCTTGTGTACTTTCTTATTTCTCGTGTTAAAAATGTATACTTCATCCTACTGTCATTGGTTTCTCCTTTCTTTTTCAGTTCCCCTTCGTTGTTTTATTAGTTCTAACGTGTATGGTGTGATCCATGGTTTATGTTGCTTAGTCCTGGTGGGTATTAAGTCTTTAGCTGCTGTTATCAAGATATCCCTAGCTTGTACCGCCAGTTCATCAGGTGTCATTTTTCCTCTTGTACAGACATCAAGACCTCAAAAACGGTTCTTCACTTCTACGTTGTATGCATCTGGTATTTTTGTGAGATCAAATCTAAATGGCCTTGGTCCTCTGGTAAGCTTTTTGAGTTTTAATTTCAGATCTGCTTCTAGTAACTGATGATCTGTATCGCAATCTGCACTTCGCAGGGTTTTTGCAGATGTTATGCTCGATCTCCATCTTCTTTGTATTAAAATGTAATCTATCTGGTTTTTGGTAACACCGTCAGGGGATGTCCATGTGAAAAGCCTTCTAGGGTGTTGTTTATAAAGTGTGTTAGCTATTGTTAATTCATTTTCTATGCAAAATTCTATCAATTTTTCTCCTGTTTCATTTCTATTACCCAATCCAAATTTTCCTAAAACGTGTCTCTCATTTTCAGCTCTGCCTGTACCTACTTTAGCATTAAAATCTCCCATTATTATTATTATATCATTCTGATTAATTTTATTTAATGTGTCTTGCAGTATGGCATAAAAATCTTCAATTTCGCCCTCCTCTGCTGTTGAAGTTGGTGCATATACCTGCATGAAAGTTAATATATATATATATATATATATATATATATATATATATATATAATATATCAGAGAAGATAAAAAACAGTTTATTATAAATACCTGTAATAGAATTGAACAACTCCAGATGCAGGGAAGAGGCAGAGACTTGTTTAAAGAAATTAAAACATTGAAATACGAATTCAGGCCTTCTTTACATGTAATAAGTGATAAAAACGGTAACACATTAACGAAAACCAAAGACATTAGAAAGATGGAAAGAATACTGTAGAGAAATGTGTGAGGATGAGACAGGTAATTCAAAAACGACTTGTGAAAGTTATGAAAAAGAACCAGAGCCTTAACTGGATGAGGTACGATCAGCAATACACAGCCTGAAGAAAGGAAAGTCACCAGGTTGCGACGAAATACCAGCAGAACTAATTCAAGCAGGAGGAGAGGCCAGCGTCCGAATCTACCATGACTGTGCTCGAAGATCTGGAACAGTGGCGTTTGGTCTAAAGCTTGGAAAAGAACAGTCTATATTTCTCTCCCAAAGAAAGGAAATCCAAAACTATGCTTTAACTACCGTACCATCGCATTAATAAGTCATGCTAGCAAAATCCTCTTACGAATTATCATGAAAAGGATTGAAGGAAAATTACAATATGAACTAGATGAAGCACAAGCGGGTTTCAGACAGGGTAGAGGAACTAGGGATCACATATTTAATATGAGAATAATTTTTGAAAAATGTAGAGAATACAACGTAGATCTTCATGCTTGTTTTATTGATTATGGCAAGGCATTTGATTGTGTCCAGCACCACCAACTGTGGACTGTTATGAAAAGTATGGGATTTCCAGCGCATTTAGTGCAATTAATTGAAAATCTCTATCATGAACAACAAGCAGCCATCAGAGCAGCTGGTGAAACATCTGATTGGTTCGAGGTGCAAAAGGGGGTGAGGCAGGGGTGCATTCTCTCACCATACCTATTCAATATATACACAGAAAATATAATGAGAAATGTCAAAAATGACCAGACTTGTGACAGTTAAGATCCGCTCAAAATTGGTGGCAACCCTATTCCGGAACTCCGCTATGCAGATGACACAGTCCTCCTTTCGAACAGAGTAAAGGGAATAGAAAATTTAATATTGTCCGTCCAAAAGCACAGTGAAGATCAAAATCTGTTCTTGAATTTAAAGAAAACGAAAATAATGTCCGCAGATAAAACTGGCTGTCACCCAAAAATAACAATAAATGATGAAGAAATTGAAAATGTCACAAACTTTGAATATCTAGGCTGTATAATAAACAACAATGGAGACTGTTCGACAGAAATTAAAAGGAGGATGGCCATAGTAATGCAAAGATTGAACAGCCTTAAAAGTCTATGGTTAAGCACCAGCAAGGAGATAAAAATTAGAATTTTGAGAGCATGCATCTTCCCTGTGGCTACATATGGATGTGAGTCATGGACTATCTCTCAGTCCTTAAGAAAGAGAATAGGGGCTTTTGAGCTGAAATGCTATAGAAAGATTCTCAGAATAACTTGGACAAAGAAGATGAGAAATATTGACATCTTAAAAGATCTGAACATCAAGGAAGATTGGCTAATAAACAGCATCCTTTCTCGAAAGCTGAAATATTTTGGTCATATCAAGCGCCACGACGGATTGGAAAAAAATTATAGCAGAAGGCATGGTACCAGGAAGGAGGGGCAGAGGCCGACCGTCACGAAGATAGGCACAGGATATAAGTGACTCCTTGAGTGTGAAAGTTCGTGAGGCGGGAGAACTGGCAAAAGACCGAGTTTCTTACAGGCAGACTGTGATGAGAGCGACGTTCTGCAAAGGACCTGCTACATGATGATGATGATATATATTTTAGTGCTATTGTAATAGACACTTGGTCTGGCACCATTGCTTCTAGAAAAAAAAAGCCTGGTTTACATATAACATCTATTGAATCTATAATTTCATAGTATTTACCTGTAACAGTCGATTCACGTCCAACATGTGTTTTTTCATCGTCGGCAAAAATGTCTTTGATTGTTTTGGAACTATCAAGTTTACTGCTTCTCGATTTATCAGACTTTGCTTCACTACCAGGGTACCTATGTTTCCCGATTCTTTTATCTGTCGTATTACTTGAGAGGAATGTTTCATCGTCTCTGATTTTCGGGTATTTATGCATACCACTGTTTTTACTGGCCATTGTAGTAGTGTTCTTGTGCACTTTTGCAAACGTTTTGCGTTGTCTGTACTCTGTAACTAAGTCGAGGCTCACAGCTGCAAGTCGAGGAAGAGCCTGCAATGCAAACAGTTGAAAATATAACGTTGTAATAATTGTTATGATAATATTACACAATATTACTGCAAGCTGAGAGAGAGAGAGAGAGAGAGAGAGAGAGAGAGAGAGAGAGAGAGAGAGAGAGAGAGAGAGAGAGAGAGAGAGGGAGAGAGAGAGAGAGAGAGACAATTACTTGATGAGGAAAACTGACAATATAATAAGAATTCGCTTTCATCAGAACCCACATTAGCAAATAAAAAAGAAAAGAAATCCCACCCACAATAACCCAACCCAATATATTGGGTAGCGAATGACAGGTGAGCGGAGTGTGCTTAAATTAAATACAATAAAAAAAATTGGCGTGTGTTGCTTGAAGGCGGAAAAATAATATTAATAATAACAGTAATAATAAGTAGAGGAAGACGGAGTAGGAGAAGGAAGAAGAAGAAGAAGAAGAAGAAGAAGAAGAAGAAGAAGAAGAAGAAGAAGAAGAAGAAGAAGAAGAAGAAGAAGAAGAAGAAGAAGAAGAAGAAGAAGAAGAAGAAGAAGAAGAAGAAGAAGAAGAAGAAGAAGAAGAAGAAGAAGAAGAAGAAGAAGAAGAAGAAGAAAAAGAAGAAGAAGAAGAAGAAGAAGAAAAAGAAGAAAAAGAAAAAGAACAACAACAACATTAAGAAGAAGAAGAAGAAGAAGAAGAAGAAGAAGAAGAAGAAGAAGAAGAAGAAGAAGAAGAAGAAGAAGAAGAAGAAGAAGAAGAAGAAGAAGAAGAAGAAGAAGAAGAAGAAGAAGAAGAAGAAGAAGAAGAAGAAGAAGAAGAAGAACAACAACAACAACAACAACAACAACAACAACAACAACAAAAAGAAGAAGAAGTGTTTATCGGTTTTCATTGTTTCTAAAGAATATTATATTTTTTAGGATCCTTGTTATTTCTTGAAAGGGTGCTATTCACTGTAAGCGGCCCAACTTCACATTTAGTGTCCTTTCGTTCATATTAGCTAAGGCGAGTCTACGTTGCAGGGGTGCCAAGTTCGTCACCGCCGATGTCCCATATTCTATACTACACGGCGACGTAGCTTTTAATGTGCCTAGAATATCTACACCTGGCCCTAACCTAAATCAGCCGCTAGGCACAGGCTGAACCTAGGTCGCTCTAGAGAGTCCCCAGTGCGTCGCATGGCTCACTACAGCTACTGAAAACGCAATAGCGGCGGACGCTGGTGGCAGAGTGTGTACTTCGAGCGCTCAACGTAAAATGCACGCCGGCACCACTTTCTCGTCGGACGTAGGTTCAGGCGGCGGGGTAAGGGGTTGGGGTTAGAGCCAGTTGTAGTTTATCTGTTGTGCAGCTGTTCACATACAGTAGGAAATAATTAACACACAACACAACAGGTTAACGGGGTGCGTGTGGTAAAGTGGCTGGCTTGGTGGCTGAAGGGTGGGGGGGGGGAAGGGCTGGTATTTTTGCTTTCCTTAACAGCAACATCACCCCCTCCCCCCCTAACCACCTTTTTTCCCCATCCACCACCAACCACTGATTTTCCAGTGTAGCCAAGCCACATATAACATATGTTCTTTTTATTGCTGCTGTGTACTGATTAATCCACGCTTTCAGAAGATTGACCAGCTGCTTCCATATCAATACACATGGACATCTATATTCTATAAATACACACAAATACCTTATAATCTGGATACAAGAAAGAGCTGGCGGCGTGATTCGGGAATGATGAGGTAACTTTCGAAATAGGTTCAGCCGGGACACTTGGCCAGTTGGGGGAGGAGAACGTCAAGCCTTGGTCAGTACCAGCATCATAGGGATGGAGATCCATGCGTAGACTGGTCTTCCAGCGACCACGGGCGCACAGATCTAGATTGCTGACTCCGATAAACCAGTCGGGACTTGGAATAATCTTCATCATAAAGGACAGCTGTTAAAAAAAGACAGATTAGTAATTTAAATATATGCCACCCCAAACAGGGGAAATCCACAGGTCATGGGACAGTCTAATATTTCAGGGGGTGGTAGATAGGCTACATGACAGTCATGGTGCCTAGGCTGCACTCTCTCGTGGGACAAGTTCTATATGTTTTAGGGTCGTTAAAAGCATCAGAAAGCCGGGAAACCCAATCTTACCACCCTCTAAAACGTTGGACTGTCCTGTAACGACATCTGCGGATATATATATATATAGTTATGAGACATGAGATCACCAGTAAATATGTCGATGCTTTATTAGTATCTTACCCCAGATGACGTTACAGGATGGTCCAACATTTAGGATATTAATAAAGCATCGACAGATTTACTGGTGATCTCATGTCTTATAACTATATATATATATATATATATATATATATATATATATATATATATATATATATATATATATATATATATATATATATATAATGTATACAAACTTCATCACATGACAGAAACAGACAATTATACACACATTTAGATTCCTTACTGTACACAACAGACTTTGCAACCACTTGAACAATAAATACAAGACTGGGGATTCAGAAATGTGCCCATTTGGATAGGCAGCGCAAAATACTGAACATGTGTTACAGCTATGTTCTCTAAATGCAGTAGAGAGATCCTACTAATGAAAGTCGTCCCCTCGTAGGATGCAATTTTGTGTTATTTTGAAGCCCTAACCTGGATTTTGATGGGGGCCCTGAGTATAGCCGGGCCATAAATATGGTCTGGTCATAGTTATGGCCTAACGGCTGAAAATGGTTTCTGGGACATCTTCACGGGTGATCCTCATCCGCATGGTGGCACTTTGTGTCACCTGATTTTTGTCGCTTGTGTGATGTCCTGGTGGGGTACAACTACCTACCTAGAGAGATTCTACCTTTGGCCAGTTAGCATTTCAATAGAATGTATGGAACCTGGAAGACATGCGTTGCACGGCAAATTTTATGGAAGCCTCTGACCTTCTCATCTGAAAACTAATTGCAGGGAGAACAAAGAGAAAAAGAAGGTGTAAAGAAATATACAAAGTTACACCAACACTGATATTCCAATACTCCCCGTACGGGTTCCGGGGCCCCATTGCGGGGGAAAAACAAGAATAGACCCCCTACCTCCCCAACAAGAATGTCGTATGAGTCTACCAATTGGGGATTTCGTCGAAGTCGGAGTGCAGCTGCCCGAGCGGCAAGAGACAACCAATTGCATACAAAGAAGTAAAACGGATGTACACGCAAAACTCAGGCCTTTTGCACAAAGCCAAAGTCCCAAGGGACGAACAGCCAGGACTTGCAGCCGGTGAACAAAGAAGAAGCAGAAGCCTTCAAATAATGTGCATGTACGTTTAAAAAAATATTAAACGATCGAACATTAGTTTATGTATTAATTCATTAATTCGTTCAGTTCTCTTCTGTTATTTCACCACATCATACTGTAGGGATTTCACCAGACAGTCCCATATTATTCGGGGTTAGGGTTAGTGCTAGTATTAAATGAATAGCTGCTACGGTCCTGTTCTCGTTTCCCAGTCCATCTTCACACTATCTCAGTCTAATCTAGGTCAAATGGGTGTCAAGTTGTATTGCTTGTTTCGAAAAGAGTCTCTCGTGTGACATGGGCTCAGACTGGCGGTAAAGGGGTTTGGGTTAGGGCCAGTTGTAGATGTTATGGGGTCGTCGAAAGCCATGTCGTTGTGTCGTACGGATATGCGATGTGATTGGAGGCAAGACAACGTGACACCCCTCTGACGTATGTCAGTCTGAGAAAGTATGAATGAAAGGTCAGGCAGTGTGTAGATGGGCCGGGAAACGTGAACTACAACTACTGGTTTAAGCTTAAGCTAGTTTCCCCAAACAAAATATGGCACGTTTCATTCACAAGTTTGTTGGGCTGGTCTACTTTTGTGCATGTTACGGGTGTGCCGCTCTGTTGTTTGCTCTCTGGTTTGTCTTGCATTTACGTTTTTATTCTGAGATAGAGAATGCCTGTGACGTATGTTGCAGCACTCTCGGAAGGGGGTGGGGTAGACCCAGTTTACACATGTTTTTGAAATGTTAAAAGCGCTGGCGTGCTGAAATATACAACAATCGATATCAACAGCATTGCTGAACAACCCCGTAACCTTGTGCCAAGGTGACAGGTTCAGAAACTACCAATCAGAAGTGAGCTAGTGTGTATATGGTCGGTCCGTGGGGAGACTAACGTTAGTTTTACCCTACTAGTGAGTCTAACCCTAACACCCCTATACTACCAAATCACGAAGCCTGCATGATGTGGTGAAATAACAGAAAAAGACCTTCGTTCTTGTATTAGCTTATAGCTGGCCTTCTTCTTATATATAGCTGTAGGAGTGAGTGTGGAACTGACTGCTCACATAAAGGGCAGGTCCCACCAATTGCAGATTGCAATAAAGGCAATCGACATGGGAACCTAGGAGCTAAACAGGCTCAAACAGAAAGGGGAAATAAGCTTTTCGCCAGTACTGGTTTATACATGCTATGTATTTGGACTATAATATTATATTTTATTTCCAATTCAGCACAGTATTATTATTATTGTCTGTGTCATCTTCATCACCATTAATATTTGTATTTCCCATTTAGCACATTATTGTAATTATTATTATTGTAATTATTATTATTATTATTATTATTATTTGGCATCCGAACGAGGCTTATGCCCTTGGAGGCCCCGCTACTCCTTACTAGATCATTAAAATTATACACGTTTCGTCCTTTCTATGATGAATTTTTTGTGTTATTTGAAGCCTCACCCTGGCTTTTGCCAGGGGCCGCAATATAGGTAGGCCATAAATATGGCCAATTGTCTGAATGCGGTGTCTGGGACCTCTCCACGGCGATCGTCATCCACACAGTGGCACTTTGTGTCATCGGGTGTTTATCGCTTGTGTGATGTCCTGGTGGGGTAGAAAGTCAGTCAGTCGGCTGTGCACTTTTACAACGTAATAAACGTTTGTGTATAGTCACAATTCATAATACAGCTGGGAAATGTATGCTTACTATTTCTATACATTTCTGTTTAATTTTCAGAAAGATAAACACAAACAAATACTGAAGCAGATATTGACACGTTCTGATACCTTTGAATGTTGGCCGTCTAAAACAATCACACACGACGTTTGACCCACACCACTGTCTATAGCTGGCGCCACAAAACTGTCCAGAACGCCGTTGTAGCCCTGCACAAACTCGGTATCGAGAGCATGGTATATACCCTGTTCAGCAAACAGTTTTACTCCCAAGGTAGCGTTTTCTCCCACAACCCACATGTGGTGTTCAAGATCATGGGAGCGACCTGTAGGTAACAGAGGAAAATAATCACAAACGTGGCTTGTGCTGTGTGAAGCGTGGAAACAACGAGAATAATTAGTTTGTATAATTCATTTTTATTCTAGGACAAGGCGTAAGCAATACCAAATGGAAAAGGCTTGGTGGGCCGGCGTTCCGTTATGGGTAAAGAAAAGCAAAAGAATGGACAGAAGTAGGAAGAAACGAGTGAGAGGTACGGGAGGAGAAATAGGAAGAAGACAACGTAGAAAAAGAAGAAAAGTATCAGGAGCAAAATGAGACGAACGAGGAGAAGGAGGAAGAGAAGACACCTAATAATTTTAGTTTAGTTGGCGGAACAACATCATGGCACACGGGTGTAACTCATAATTGCTCCGTTATACTTCTAACTCAAGCTAGAGTTTGAAGTAGCAGCGCAGTGCACGCACTCCGTTGCATCGGCGAGGATTTTGAGGAGAAAGAGAAGAAGAAAATAATAATAAATAATAGATATTGAAGTATTTATAAAATATGGGTCTGGGTCAGTTTCTAAAGCGTTGCGAAAGCACTTCATAATGCCTTGGTGTCGGGTTCGATCCCTTTGATTTGGCAGCAGTTTTAACAGTGGTATCGAAAGCCGTAATCAATGGCAAATGAATGTACGTAGAATTGCCTGGTGAAATCACACACGCGCACAAAACAAAAAACTAAATAAATGCTGGGGTTGGTTTTTCAATGGCCTGTAAAAGACATTCCAGTGAAATGTGACTGCAAAGCTCAACTAAATGGGGAAGCAGAAAAACGTGCACAATTCAACACAAATAACATTTCGTCCGGCAGCCTTTGTCTTACATGAAGTGAGCTACACAAAGTTGACATCGAGGAGAGTATTCAGATCTCGGCACTCTTCAGTGCCCAGATCTTTAATGAGTGACGTGAGCAACGTTTAAAAAAATGTGAAGTGGAATGAATGAAATAAAATAAACGATGGCTAAAAAAATATAGTCGCAAATAATAATAATATTATTATATAATTATTAATTATATATATTGCATATAATTTTTAATATTATAATTCTGTAAAAGGCATGCAACTAACAACAAATAGAAACAGACAACTTACCCACAAGTGGAGACCATTGAGCATGTGGTCTGTACATTGGATACATTTTAGGAAATGTTTGCTTTGACCAGTATGTGTTTACTGTCAACACGTATTTCACGAGTGACTTCGGTTTGCAGTATACTGCATTCTGCTTGAATCTGTTTCTAACTGTGTCTTTGCTTGAGTCGCACTGTGATGCTAATGCAAACAAAGTCAGAAGGACTACCACTGTAACAACATCCATTGTATGTAAACTAAGTAACAAATAAGCGATTGCGTAATTGTATTTCCGATTTCTGTCTTTACTCCTATTACCTCAAAATAAATGACAAACTTTGACAATTATCTGACATGTTTGCAGATGTAAAAGTATCTTCACAAACTTGTAAGGCATGAGTGCAACGAAGAGTAAGCAACTGCTTTATATATAAGCTGATTTGGTGTAACAGGTCGTGCAATTTACCTGTTTGTTTATTTCCTGTTGAAACGTACGCGCACGAACGTAGTTTTCTCGGTTCAAGGTACGATTAAATTTTGGGGTTTCTAGAACAAGGATATCTGAACGTAATTATTTACCTCACACGATTTACTGGTATCGTTTCTGGGCTTGCTCAAGCTTCATAAGGCTAATGAGGCACAAAAATATGCCAGGTAACTGAAATTGTTGTGACTTTAACATTTTACGTTGGTATTTACGAGGTTGTTGTGATACAGCAGATTTGTTCCGAAGCTTTGATTTCTCTTTCTTCTTCTTTTCACTACTCCAGGAATGCCTTGCAGTGTCAGGACAGGAAAAGATCACTGAAAAGGGCCCTTCTGTTAGCTTCGTATAAGGTACTTTTCAGTGTCTCTGATTTTTCTGCCTGCCATAACTGTAAGTACAGAGAAGTAGCGAACCTTTTACACGCCTATCGATCATCGGGCATATAGTGCTAGACCTATACTTTTGTAGATAAAACGGCACTATGTGGATTATCTGGTCAAGATCACACCGGCCAAATTTAGTTTACTTTTCAATACAAACTATCTATCCATATCCTATTCATGTCGCTGTTGACACATAAGGCATTCACAAGTGATCTCCATTGCTGCCGGTCTACTGCTTTTCTGCCCAAGGTAGCCCATGTCAGTTTACATTCCTTCATTTCCCATTCTACTGTCCTTCTCCAGGTTTTCTTAGGTCGTCCACGTCTCCTTTTCCCATCTGCTGTCCACCGGAGAGCTGTTTTTTGCCAGAGTGTCACAAGGCATTCTGCAAACATGTCCAAGCCATCTCCATTGTCTTACTTTGATAACATTTGCCAGTGATGCACAATATGTTTCCCTCCTGTTCTTCATTTGAGATCTTATTTGTCCAAAATATTTGTAGAATTTATTTTGAAAAGTCTCAAGTTTATGTGTAATTCCCGCTGTAATTCTCCACATTCACTGTTGTATAATAGTATTCCCAAAATAGTATATTCTGAGTTGTGTCTTTAAACTAAAACACTTTGACTTCCATATATTGTAAAGAATTGCAAATGCTTGATTTGTTTTATTTATTCTTGATTATACATCCTTTTAAGAATCTCCATCTGGAGAAACTTTACTTCCGAGGTATATAAATTCTTCAACGTTTCAACACAATACCTGGTACTAATTTAAAGCTGGGTCGACTGGAGCCAGTGTCAATTATAAAGAAAATTAGCCTTGATGTGGATTCGGACCCTATACCTTTATCCTTACAGGCGTCTAACGGCTACGCCACCGTGGTTCCCGCCCTAACTGTAGTGTAGGTTTAATCCCAGTGTCAGAATTATTTATCGTACCAGTATATCGCACCGATAGTCAAGCTTTTAATATTTACGCTATGGCGAATTGAACAGATACCCATAAATGCTGCCCCAAACCACGCCCTTCTGTAGCTATAAAAAAATGTGTAGTCTAAAGATGGACGTGCTCCAAACATTACCATTACAGCCCATATCAAACTTGACAGAAGTTGCAGAGAGCAGATTAGACACGTTAGTCAGAACGCTGATTGATGAAAACACAGACAAAGATGGCGCTGTAGAGTACATGGGCGGATCAGCTATTCAGAGCAAGACATTCATAGTGAGTTCAAGTGGGAAAACCATAAATGAGATGAATAGGGCCTGTTACAATCAGAAGCCTCACAGCGGGAGGCTGTAACACGGGCTTTAGCATAGCTGGGCACTCAAAGAGTTCACACACGCGTGCAAACTTAGTGACTCAGTGAACATGCTTAAGAGAATCCCTGCTGCGTTTATCACACAATAGATTGTGTTACTTTGCGAATGGCTGGATTAACCTTCATATTTGTGCCGGGCAATGCAAGTGTTAAAGGCAACGAGGGTGCAGATTATTGTGTAGTTGCTGCAGTTACTATCTACAGGACAGAAACGATGTTATCAATGTAATGCGCAACATTTGCCGCGAAGAGAATGTGGTAAAGGGTGGAACTTCCTAACCCTGTCTAGTCTTATTTACATGGGCATTCTACCTATAGCTATAAGAAATGAACATCTCACCAAACATACAAGGCGTTTGAATAATCAACACAAAATAAGCTTCTGGAGCTTTAGAGGGGGAGATCGGAGCTCCTGTGAATCTGCAGAGTGCTGTGATGGTAAACCTCCCTAATCACTATTATAAGAAATAATGTAAAATGAAACTGCATTAACATCTCTTGCTCAAGTTCTAATTTCATTTTCACTTACATAAATTCTGTCTCTTTTCCTTTTAACATAAACTAGCAACTGCTTATATGCGATTATATGTGTGTGTGTGCGTGCGTGTGTGTGTATATATATATATATATATATATATATATATATATATACACACACACATAAGTGAAGTAAATATCCCTTTTCCCGCCTTCAGGTGCACCAGGCATATAGGAAAAGCACCCATGTTTTTACAGACCAATCGGCTTTGGGTGGGTAATGTGGTCAGCATTACGCCGGCCGTGTTTATTTCCCCAGGACATACACCCTAGTACCCATTTCAGGCTGGGTCGACCTGCGAGGCCTCATACCATGAAAAAAATTCATGCAGTCATCAGTGGGATATATATGTATGTATGTATGTATGTATACATACATACATATATACACACATATATTTAGTTGTATAAAACTTCCTGCTTCAACAGATGTGATTAAATGGTATGACAACATCATTAATGGGGAGCTTTGGGAAAGGTAAACAAATTCCAGGAAATCAAAAGGCAAAGAAAAGACACTGGCATTGGTTAAAAACAGGCTTTGAGAAAAACCTGATAACAATATAAACAGAATCTCTCTGCACTAAAAATCATACAGCCAAAGAATACGATCTGGAAAAGGGGAAAAAATAGAGAACTTAGGGGGTGGGGGGGGGGGGGACGAGCTGGGTGCAATAGCGCAAGATACGACGACTTAATGTGAGTTGGTTGAGGTTCTATGCTCCACTGGGGAACGAAATGCAGAAAAAAGAAGCAACTGTTTTCTCTTGTTGTTGTCTGCTTTTTAAAACTTTATATCTGTTTACGTGTCAACCTGCTTCCGAAAAGTACATTTACATAAAATGTTTCTTCCATGTAAACATGTTCATTGCAGCCATAAACTTGTAACTGTAGGAGATAAAGGATGACACATTCGTGGCGTCGTGTTTCTCCTAACTTCCCAAACTTAAACTGGCGAGTGCTAACCATTATATTTAAATGTTAACTTTAACCGAATACCTAGATCTGCCTGCTCTCTATAACAAAAACTGCCCATACACGTAAACTTCTTTTTATTCTAATTCTTCTTCTATCCCTAACTCGAGTTGCTTTTCTATTCTTTGGCATTTTGTGCACCCATTAACCTTCCTTCCTACATGTTTCTCCTGTCCACTTTTATTCTCTGCGAAAGACAGACAGAAATGACAATATTTACTTCTTTTGATATCTGTGTTTCAAAGCAATTTCATTTTAATTTTATTATTTACATGTTTGCTGGATGTTTATTCTACCCAGCTAGCAACGTTTTTTCCTCATTTCTTCATTCGGTGAAATTTGAATAGTTCTCTATCTAAGTTCGGCATTAGTAATTCTGTGGTGCTGAGTGGTCTTAAAGCATGGAGTCCACCTCGACTGCTAGAGGTCATGGGTTCAGACCCAGGTAAAGGCTGAGATTTTTTCACGTGGACTACTAGTATTCCCCCCTGGTCTCTGGGCAGTAAGATCGGACGCCCATGTGTATTGTTGCACACGTAAAAAATCCCTTGGCAGTTGGAAATAAAAAAAAGGTAGCATAATGACGCTGCCCGGGCAAAACTTGGAGTAACAAATCTACCTAAAGTATTTCAGGATCCTCACCGGTGCTATATAGCTCGTGCACTGCGCTGAGATTGTTGAAACTCAGGCATGAGCTAGAAGTAGAATTGAGTACTTATGGGTTACTACCCTTGGGCCATAAAGTTGAATTTAAATTAGTACTTCTATTTTGAGCAGGCGCTAGTTAATGATAATTTCCTTTGTTAGTAACTTCTTCTTCTTCAGCATTTCGAGCCCTTGAGGTTCATTGTTACAGATTCCACTAGCCTCCATTCATCTTTTTGGTTTTTCTTGTCTTTCCAGTTTGTAACACCAAGTGCTTGTATGTCTGTCTGGATTCGAATTCCCCTTCGTCTTCTATTTCTGCCTTGTGGACTACGATCATTCAGATTCCTTGTGTATACAAATTTGTTAGTAATTGCTGGGGTCATTTAAAAAGTCGAGAGGATCGATTTTATTGCACCGGGGTTTTCGGACTCTCCCCGCAGATCAGGTAACCGCCAGCCAGCAGCGACGAACGGAGCATGAACTCGGTAGCTCTAGCGAGGATCCTCAGAGACCATCACAGATACTAGACGTGAACTGAATGATCACCTCGCCACGAAGACCCAGGTGTTATTTTATCTTTCATTAAAATCACACCAAAAAAGTGAAAGCAAATTTCGAGGCAAAACCAAAGAAGAGGTAAAGTAAATGTTTTAGCTCTATGGGGAGGACGGGGAGGGGTGCGCTACGGTAAGCAATACTGACATCTTTTGTTATATTGCCAATATTTTAGCGCTATTGTTGTGACAGAACATTTCGATGTTCGTACCCCCACCCTTTTTATACACTAGATATCGTATACCAGCACCTCTTTCTGTATAAACAGCAGTTCTTAGCAGTAATTAAATCAGCGACAGATATTCAGCCTGTCTGTTTTATAACTGGGATAGGGTAGG